CCCAAATGGATTAAGATGTGAGGGAACAATGAGCTAGGGCTGTGGCTCAGTGGTAGAGCATTTGCCTAGCATGCATGAGGTACTGGGTTCAATCCCTGGTACCACATAAAAATAAACATTTAAAATAAAGGTATTGTGGGGCTGGGGATGTGGCTCAAGTGGTAGCACGCTCGCCTGGCATGCGTGCGGCCCGGGTTCGATCCTCAGCACCACATACAGACAAAGATGTTGTGTCCGCCAAATACTGAAAAATAAATATTAAAGTTCTGTCTCTCTCTCCCTCTTAAAAAAATAAAATAAAATAAAATAAAATAAAGGTATTGTGTCTATCTACATCTAAAAATAAATAAAGATGTGGGGGAATGGTCTCAATGAAAAGGTCTGGTAATCATCAGATTTGCATTTTAGAAAGGATTTTTTTCTCAGAAAAATTCATTATAGATTAGTTTCCATTGTTGTGTTTACTTTTCAATGACATACAAATCTTATCCGTTTCAGTTGTTAGTTGTTTAAGGAGTTGGAAAAATATTTGAATAATAGAAAAAAATTAAGAAAACTAATTGTAGAGTACCATTAAATGTACAAAGCATTTAGCCATATGTACTTTTGCGGCACATATTTAGAAGGTGAATGGTACAGACAGAGATTTGGACCTGGTTTCACCACTTTTCCACCCTATGTCTGTGGACGATGCTGATAAGTGATGATGGCACAAAGTCCTATTGTCTCAGATACAACTTTTGTCTCAGAATCCTTTTCAATACAGGTCTCCAGGCTAGCAGTGCCATGTACTCAAGTTGTCACTTGTAAATAATTCGATTTGCCATCCTAGAATGGTATAGAGTACAGACATTGTAAGACCATACAGACTGGATTGAAATTCATGATTTTCACCTTGATCCTTGGCCTAAGTTACTTGATTTCCCTAAGTATCAGTTTTTCTCATTTTATTTATTCATTCATTCATTTATTCCTTCATTCATTTTGCCCAGTCTGGTCTCAAACTCATGGGCTCAAGCAATCCTCCTGTCTCAGCCTGTGGAGTAGCTAGGAATCTAGTCATGTGCCACCAGGCCCAGCTTAGTTTTCTCATTTTAAAGTTAGAAATAAAATCATATATACAGAGGGCTCCTTTTAATTAAAAAGCAGATAACTGTGAAATTGTATCATCTCTGCCTTTACCAGTGTAAATTCAATGATCACACTGAAAAGAGTGAGAGGTAGAAATCAGTAACCATTCTACTCAAGAGCAAATATGGGGTGGGGGACACCTTCCATTGAATCATTCATTATTCTCAGTTTCAGCATGTCTCTCATAGAATTAACATCTCACCCAATAAGAGTGGTTCTATTGTTTGAAAGGATGTATTTGTCCCAAAAACATTATCCTTAAATGCAGACCAACAACATCTTATGTTACTTAGATGAATAGTGGTGGTCACATTAAAGGATGGTGAGGGGGACTTGTTTCTCCCATATTCTCCATCAGCTACTCACCCTGCCTCACAACAACAATAAGAAAAAAAGTAAGTGAAAAACAGCATACTAGCTAGATAAAAGTTGGGACAATCTTCAAATCCCCATAGTCTCTCCTTCCAACCAGACTGATACTTCTTAGTTCTTCCACTGTACAAATTTGAGAGCTTCCTGTTACTGAAAATATTCAATAGAGAGGGATATATTTTTAACTCTAGGGGTACCAAGAGCTCTTAAACAGAGAAGCAACAAAGGAGCTGGAGTTTAGAAAGCCTGCTATGGTAGTGAAATATGTCACTGTTCTCAACCAGGTTTCTAGCAATAAGTTACAGAGTCATAAGTACAATACACTATGGACTATCAAACTGATTAACTGCATTTATGCATGGTTCCTGATGCCCTCAGGTGCAAGAAACCCAGATCTACTGAACATAAATTAAAATCAACAAGATTGATGACCAACTGGGGACAGCTAAATACCTGACTTCAGGACTAGATACTGTATTACTCATTTTTTGTTGATATAACAAAATATCTGAGGCTGGGAACTTTATAAAGAAAAGAGGTTTATTTAGCTCACACTTTTGGAGACTGAAGATTCAAGGTCAACTCTCTTTATCTGTTCACCCTCTGGTGGATCCTCTTAGCTGTATTATATATGATACCACCATGGCAGGCAACATGCTCAACCAGGAGAAAACATATGTGGAGACAGGAAGAAGCCAATCTTGCTTTTTTATTTTTTGTATCAGGGATTATATTCAGGAGCACTTAACCACTGAGCTACATCCCCAGCCCTATTATTTTTATGATTTAGAGACAGGGCTTGACTAAGTTGCCTAGGGCCTCACGAAGTTGCTTAGGGCCTAAATTGCTGAGACTGGCTTTGAACTCTTAATCTTCCTGCCTTGGCCTCCCAAGCTACTGGGATTATAGGTGTACACCACCATGAATGGCCAGTCTTGCTATTATTATTATTACTATTATTTGTAGATGGACACAATACCTTTATTTGTTTTTATATAGTGCTGAGGATGGAACCCAGTTTTCATACGTGCTAGGCAAGTGCTCCACCACTGAGCAACAGCCCCACCGGAGTCTTGCTCTTTTTATAACAACTTAGTCTTCAGAGAACTTGCAACCAGAATTAATACCTCCCAATGACATGCCCACCTCTTAAAGACTCCACCATCTTTCAATATTGCCACATTGGGGAATCAAGATTTCCCATTACATGAATCAATGCTTAAGCCATATAAACCACAGCAGATACTTAGGCGAGGATTTGATGTAGCCAAGGGGCATGGATGACAAACAATTTATTTGCGGGTAGAAAGGAAGTAGATGCAATAATTTTGGATACTTTGAGTTGAAAGTGTCTTGTGACTGATTGCATTTATTGTGTATTTAAGGCCAGGGATGTAGCTCAGTGGTAGAGCTCTTGCCTAGCATGCCCTGGGTTTGATTCTCAGCTACACACACACACACACACACACACACACACACACACACACACACAAACAATGCATACCATGTAGTTAATGTGACCCTGGAAGTCAGAGATGTAAAATGGAGGTGTAAATTGGGGAACTGTCAGTTTTTGGAAGATGACTGTGGAAAAGGATGAGCTGTATCCTAGGCCTATAATGAGAAGAAAAAAAAAACAAGTATAAGAATTCAACTTCCTGATATTGACTTTATATTAAACCAGGGATTCATAGCCTGCCTCTGAAGCCACTGTGCACCAACCCCATCGCAGCCTCTTAGATTTCTCTGCTGCTTCCCCCACTCTAACACCAGGCTTCTCACCATTTGTTCACTCAGCTCACCAGACATCCTGCCTGTGCTCTGCATTCATCTTCCTGTTTATTCATGCCACAAATATTCACTGAGCAGCTGCCCTAAGCCAGGTGCTGTACTAGGCCCTGATGATACTGAAGTGACCAAAACATCCTGACTCAAAACATGAACACTCTAGTGAAGGAGATGGACACACACAAATAACTAAGTAGACATACTGGGGAGAGATAAATGCTATGCAGAAAAAAAACAAGCTGAGCAAGGAGATATAAATTGATATACTACTTTGTGTGTGTGTGTGTGTGTGTGTGTGTGTGTGTGTGTGTGTGTGTGCGCGCGGTGCTGGGCCTTGTGCCTGCAATGCAAGCCCTCTACCAACTGAACTTTACCCCAGCCCCTTTTTAAAAGAATTTTATTTGCAGTACTGGGAATTGAATCCAGAGGTGCTCTACCACTGAACTACATCCCCAGTCCTTTTTGTTTTTTATTCTGAGACAGGGTCTCCTTCAGTTGCAGAGAACTTGAGATCTTCTGGCCTCAGACTCCCAAGCCACCGACTCCAGCAAGTAGTAATATTTTAAACAGGGCAGAAAGGAAAACCATCTCTGGAGGTGACAGGGGCACAGAGCAGAATTAAGTGTGAAAGTTCTGTGTAAAGAGGTGAGAAATGCAACCGAATGGGGAAAGGAAATAACAAGAAGCCAAAATAAGGAGTCTTGTTTTTCCTTTTGTGTGACATGGAGTCAGAAGAGTAGTGAGTAGAGGAAGGACATGACCTGACTTAGATTTGAACAAGATCCCTCTGCCTGAGTCCAGTAAAACCTACTGAAGCAGGTCACAGTGGCGCAAGCCTGTAAATTTCAGGCTGAGGGAGGAGGAGCGCAAGTTTCCAGCCTTGGAAAGTTGGTGAGACCTAATTTCAAAATTAAAAAAAAAAAAAATGAAAAAGGTTGGAGACATACTTCAGTGGTAGAACGTCCCAGAGTTCAATCCTCAGTGATTCAAAAACAAAGAATCAATGTGGAAGGAAAAAAGGAGATAACTTTTGCATTCCAACTGGAAGGCTAAGGAGATTATCCTTTATAAGAAACTAAGAGTTCACAGAACTGATCAAAGTTACAGGCAAATGCTTGGGATTGGTCGGTGTACAATAAAATGAAGAGCTAGGAGCTTGGATCCGGGCACTTTAAGTGTTGGACAGAACAGGACTAAAAACCGAATCTTTGGAATGGAGTCCCAGCTCCTCTGCGAGCAGCCCGGGATGCCGAGCCGAGGTAAGGGGCACTCGTTTAGTGTGACAGATGTTGTAACAGCTCCCTGAGAGCTCCGAGAGGGGCGCGATTGGCTCAGCAGGGGAAAAGCCGGCTTAAAAGGCCGACCCGCAGCTCTCCCGGAGCTTGGAGGCGGGAGGTAACTTTCCAGGTAGAGGGAACTGTTTACGGAGGCACTAGGCTCCTGACAAAGTACGACGCGTCTGGAAATGGCGGAGGCCAAGGTCAGGGCCAAAAAAGGAGACCAGCACTTCTCCAGTCCCGCCACGGTGTCCCAGAGTCATGAAACACTGCACCTCTGCCTGGAGAATTCCCCTTAAACGCTAGACCAGGCCAAGCGGCGCAACTGGGACTTACAGACGCCGCGGAGAAGTCGGGAGCGGCCCGCGGTCGCCCGAGTCTCGCGAGAGTTCGGCCTCGCCCGCCCAGCATGCCCCGCGCCGCCTCCGCTGCCGCCGCCGCCGCCGCCGCGCCGCGGTTTGAGGGCGGGAGGCTGGGGGAGGGTAGCGGAGCCGGCGCCGCCGCCATGTTGGATCTGAGGCGGCTGCTGTAGGCGCCGACGGAGCGAGCGGGCGTGCGGAGCGGCGACAGCGGCGTGGGATCTGCTTCTCTGCGAGCGGCCCGGAGGGGCGGCGGCGGCGCCATGAGCGGGGGCACCCCTTACATCGGCAGCAAGATCAGCCTCATCTCCAAGGCGGAGATCCGCTACGAGGGCATCCTCTACACCATCGACACCGAGAACTCCACCGTAGCCCTCGCCAAAGGTACGCCGGGGCCGGCCTCGGGGTGGGGGACCGGGCCGGGCGTCCACTCACTCGGGGCTGCACGCCGCTCTCGGCCCGCGGCCTCCTCGCGCCCACCTCCTCCCTCGGTCG